CCCGCCACCCCTCGTCAGCGTGACCGAATTTTGACTGCTTGTTTGGAAGTGCTCGTACTCGATCGGAAATCGCCTACAATCAATGACAAATTCAAACTTTATAACAAATTGAAATAGGAAAGTATTTCACCGGGCCATCTCCCCCTTTACTGTAATTGTAGGTCTACTCGCACTGGGTAGCACCAGGCTTTACCAATACTGATATCGTACCCAGCTCTCTTTTCAACGAGAGGCAGGTGACCCAATAGACCATTTTACAGTTGTCTGCTCAGTGACCTGGCCTTTGAATAGCAGCGAGGCTGGTGGGGACCTTGTTTTGATAAAGACCACATTGCTTTTGTTGTGTAAATGCAGTTCTTACGCCAACCATTTGCATTTAAATGAGAAAAGTATAGAGGCTGTATCAAAGCAAGGTCACCTCTAGCCTCACTTGCATTCATAGGCCAGGTAACTAAGCACACAACTGCAAAATCGCCTAATCAGCGGCTCTAGGCATGGCCCTGAGTCAAGCAGTAAACTGGGTACGAGATAAGCCCAAACGGCAGCAGAGCATACGCAATGGTATAAATTCTACAGGGCACTGTCAAAACTTTGATCCAGCGTTGTGTACTCGGAATCAGTCGTTTTATGTTCCTCGTCTTTGTTCTGCGCAGAAACCTGCAGAGAGCTGGTGTCTAGACTTTTGAAATTAGCATTGCCGTCCTCAATCAGAAAAATCCCGCTGTGTGTTCCATCCTCTTCATTTTCCACCACTCGCTTGTCGTTGACCTCAAATCTTACTCCAGCTGCTCTTGAAGAAGTGCTATTATTATCCATTCTCTGCACTCCGTCTTCTTCATTTGAAATATCAATACTTTTACGAGCTGCTGATTTGTACGAAGCTTGAGCCGCTGAATGTCTTGCCATCGTAGAGGCAGCTCGACGAGTAGCATCTGTTTAAGCGAAGTAAAAAGCGAACGAGAAGTTACGTTTTTTGAAAGAATGTAAATGGTGAGAGAGTTAATCCCCCATATAGGTCTTATTCCGAAGATTATTCCTCTCAAGTTATTTTAAGATCTCTCTCGGCTTCAGAAATTCCAGGAATCTAGAACGAAAACATTTACACAACGCGCATAGTAAAAATCTATGAGAAAACTGGAAGCCATATCTAAAAATAACCTGAGGTGGATGAGAATGTGGCCTATATGGGAAATTAGCTCTTACCCTTCACACCCCAGCATTTTCTTAACGCTTTTATGTAGAAGAGCTTTGCATGAAAAACAAACAAACGGCAACAAAATAATCCAAGAAACTTCCTTTTAGGTTATCATGCAAATATTTCAACGCTTTTACTACGCTCTGCAGGTTGGTTCTGAATTTTCGTCCACGGATGAAACCCTAGTGTGTGACCATTCAAATGAAAGCTACTGGGTTTAGATTTAGGGTTAGATGCACTTTTATTTGATGTTGTTTGTTTTTCGACTTAAATGGTCAATGTATTGTCTTTGGCTTTGATAGTGAAAGACTTATAGAAAGTTTTCACTCACGTTATTAGCAGCCGTGCAAATGTATTGGAACAAAAGAAATTGTTTACACAGGAAAAGAGTTCAACTCCCACGAGATTGGTTTGGTACACTGACATGGCCGCCGTTTCATTGTTTTGGAAGATCAATATGGCGGCTGTGATTACAAGCTCTAAGTAGGTTAACAACCTTACCAAAAAATGAACCATCGGGTTTTTGTGCCCCGCACAGAGACAAGATTTTCTTGAAGATGTACACATATCCTTGGCGGTATCTCAGGCTCATTTTTCCATACAAGATCGGGTTGATGAGAGCGTTCACAAGCGAGAAGAAACCAATGATGATCACCAGTGAATGGTTGATTTGTCCAGTCACCATACTGTAAAGGTTAATTAACTGGAATAAAAAGATAGAAATGTTATCTGTCAGTGAGAACTAATAAGCAAGTCAGGATAAGGGTAGTTAAATCACATATCAGTAAAAATTTTGGTCGTTCCTCCGCTGTCGCTAAGGAGGTTGAGGTAATTGAGACACTGGATTTGTCAAATCTCGAGACACTGTCACTTGTCTGTTTTCCGATCTAGACTCCCTTATTAAGTGTCATGTTTTGGACAGGGCTAGGTAGACAAAATTCTCTTTGTCACCGTTATTGTCATCGTCGTCACTATTGCTATGGATTGTCTTTCACGAGTCATCGTTGCCATGGTTATCGTAAACTGTAGGTGGACCGGTATGGCAGGAGTTGTCATGACAATCTTTTATCCTTTCCATCATCATGTTTAGTTAAGCTTAAGTGTTTCGAGAGCCGCTCTGAGAGACAAATCAGTTGCGATACAGGTCTTTCCTTGAACAGCTGATTGATCGAAATCTGAGCACAGCCACTCCTCAGTCACACCGCACGCCATCCTCTGGGATGCCAGGACGCTGAATCGAAAAGGAAATTCCTTGCAAGCACTAGGTCTGCACTGAATCAGTTTCGTCAATCTACGGTTGCCACGGTGAGAGAAAAATCCAGATAGAGTAATTATTAGAAAGTCAGTATTCTGACGCTATCAGTGCAACTACGTGATCACGAAGAGACGTGTTTAATTGCATAACAGACATTTGTTGCTTCAGTTTGAATGAGAACCCTTTCAATGAGGCAATCGGTAAACGCTTATTGGTTTTCAACTCAGTTCTTTCAAGACATATGCCACAATTTAAGCAAACATTTCACCTAAAATGATGTCGGAATATAGATTGAACCGTGTTAGCCAGTTAATTTTTATTAAACAGTGAAAAACATTGTTTGGAAAATATGCTCTGTCGCTGAGTTAACAATCTTTGGAGGAATCAGTTGTCGGTGTTTTTTAGTTACAAGAAGACTCTCGACTTTGCTCGCGTGTAGCTAATTGTTTATCAGATCTTTTCCATAAGGTGTAAACGGAATTGAATTCGGCCGTTAAGTAATACTATATTACGCTGTTTGCAAGTTTTAAGCGCTAAAAAGTTCGGCAGAAAAGGGAGGCTCTTGAGCTGTGCATTTTCTGGTGATCAGTTTGGGTCAAATAGACCGAAAAAAAAGTCCAGAAGTGCAAATAAATTTAATATACTGCAAGAGATAGAGAGAGCTCAAGCTTGATAATCCTTGTATTGTCTTATGAAGTATACTGACAATGGCTGAGAGAAAGAAGGGTCTGGATAAACCTGCTTGAGGTAGTATTTAAAACAACGCAGTGTGTTTAAGAACATGAACTACCGAAATCAAGAGAATTCAAGATGGACGACTGAGCGGTGACGGGTTGTCCTGGGAAATGCAAATATTTGTTAGCGGATGGAAGTTAAATTATTTCATGCAGAATACTATGGATAAAGAGGTATATTATTATCTTGAATAATTGGATAACTGAACTGGAGTTGTGTTTGTTCAGTTTAAATTCCAAGATATAAACTTCAATTCTGCAAAATTGTGCTGTCTTCGTCGTGCATATCAATAGTAATCCCGAGAAATATCATTTCTTTCACTCGTCGGTTTACTAAGTGAAGTATATGCAAAGTTTTGAAAAATACATAAATTAGAGAAGATTAAACTGCAATTCAATCACAAGCATTGACTAAAAGGTGGTATAATTACAGGTATCGATTACTAATGTTTTAGTAATGCATTAAAAGTCATAATCCCCTCTATTGTTGATGAAATAGCGTAAAAACGATAAACAAGGGAATAAAACTGAACATATACAAGCAAATTTCTTTCTAAATATTGTTCAGGTGAACTAATTTTATCGATGAAAAAGTAATCATCTCGAGAAAAAGAAATGTCTATTTTGTGTGCATAGCTTTATTAAATGGCCTAACCGCTGAAATTAACACGAAAATATTCAATAATGTGCGAAAACAAAAGAGAAGGCTTTCAAAATGTCAGACTAGATTTTAGTCAAATGTTTTTGGATGTTTTCAACGCTTTTCAACATATTTTGGCGTCGTAAGTTAGGAAATCAATTGCGACCCGGTTGTTTTACTTTTCCGAACGAAAACGCGCACTGCCAAACGCAAAAAACTCGCACACACGCACGGTAGACTCACCAAATAAGGCAACCAACTGATGTAGTACAGCATCACCACGATCGCCGTCATGGTTGACATCTGCTTCACTTGCCGTGTGCCAGCCGTTTCCCGCGCTTGCTGACTTTTCCCGCCAGTTTGTCTAGCGGCTGCCATCGTTGACTGGCGCTTCACAAACTTCCAGCTTGATAACTTGATTGCAATGAAGCAGACCAATACAATAATTAGCTGGAGGATACCAATACTTTCGATGATATAGCCATACGCCACTCCAAAATCAAACAATTGATAAAAGCAGAAGCCGTCCCGATAGCCTGGTTTTCCAACCCCAATAAAAGGCAATATCGACATGAAAATAGAAAACAGCCAAATCGCGACGACAGCCAGCCTCGCCCGCCCTGTTGTAACAATGATATGATGCTGTAGTGGGCGCGTCAACAGAATCGCTCGATCGCCTGATATCAGAGTTATTGTGCACACAGAGGCAATACGGAATGTGTAGGTCAATATAACAAACACGGCGCAGGACGCTCGAGTCCATAAATGCGGTCCGATAAAGTTATTCAATAAGTTTAACATCTGAAGTGGGATCGCCGCGTTTACGGCATCGGCCACCGAGAGCGAAAATAACAGCAAGTCGGCGATATTCCACGGTTTGTATAGACCGAGTGTTGTGATGATAAGAAAATGTCCACAGATCAGGAGTATAATCACGACCTCCACAACAAGTCCCAAACTGGGATTGACTTCAAATGGGGCAGCCGACGGAGTGCTCGTCGTTGCGTTCGACGAAAAATTAGACGCTGAAGTGAAAAGTGTTGATGCTGGCGACATCGCAACCATATTAAAAATCTCTCAGTCAGTGTGAGCTAGTCGAGTACCGAGTTCTTCAAGAGCTGTACAGTTTGTTTGGTGAAAGCCAATTGAAGACAATAACTCCCTATGGGGCCTCACATTTCCTAGTAGGACAGGAACCAAACGCGATGTCCGGTTTGGAAATGAGTAAGGACAGACCAAGATAATGTTATCAAGTAAATGATAAATCCCTTTACAATAAATGCCTATATTGTAACATGTTTGCTTTCCATGTTGCTCTTGACACCGCCGTTGTTTGCATTGTGAAACTGTCTCGTAAGGAATCATTAAATGCCGACAACAGATCTAATTTAAAAAGTTAATTAGTTTTAGGAAGTTAATTGAATCGACGCGGTTTAGTTTTCTGGACCAATGCTAAATAGATTTTCAACTGAAGCTTGGTTAGGATTCATATTTGAGAGACAAATCAGCGTTTACGGTAAAGGGGGTGAAAGAGAAAATTATTCTATTGAAAGCAAAAAGAAGTTTTTCGGCCGGTTCGGCATGGACTACACGCCAATGAAAATAGCCACTTCAGCGCTTGGCTTCCACTGAATCGCCGTCTTCAAAAACAACCTTATTAATAAGTAAAATGTCGGTTTTCTTTTTCGCTTTTAGCTTTATGTTGCCGAAGTGGACCAAAGGCAAACATTGGTCGCTTTCTGAGGCTTGGTAAAGTGAATCCATCACTCAAAAACATCCGATCTACCCTCTCACTTGTCTTGAAAGTCCATTGTTTATTTCCTGTATCTGAGATTTTAACTCATTTACGAAATCAGATACGCCCGGCGCCGTTTGAGAATTCTAAATTTTAAAAGTTATTCAAAACTCACCCTGCGAGCAGAGCCTCTTTTATCGCTTTTTTGAGCGGATAGGAGACGGAAAATAGCATATGTACCGTAAGAAAAGGCTCTGCTTGCAGGGTGTTCAAAACTTTGGTTATCAAGTTATGACACGGTACTCTTCGCTATCAGTCGACTCTCTTCGGGGTTCTTCGGAAAGTACTCGGGTTCCAAACCGAGAAGGCACTGGGGAGGAAATTTTTAAATAACATGGAGGCCAACATGGCGGATGAACATCTACACGTAGCAACTTGTGGCTAACTACAGTTTTATCGCATCATGAGTGGAGTTACGGAAGAGGCAGTCCTCTGCATGCAGCATTGTAGTAATCAAATGAATATTTTCTTCACAAAGTTTCCCGAGATGTGTCCTTTGTGTGGCCAGTCGCTGAAAAGCTGTTCTTTGATAATACCCCCATTTCGTATTCCAAGTCCGTTTGTTGCACAGAATAATGTTTCTGGCGTGCTTTTGGTGAAGCCGACGAAGGGCTCGTTCTTGAGGTAGGGACTAGGACCTGTTATTACTTTAGAAAACAGAACCAGAACCTGCAGATTTTAACATTGGTAGAAGCTAAGAGAGTACATGTACGATCCAGATTGAAATGTACTATGGAAAAAAAATCTCCCCCCATCCCCCCCGCTTCCCAGACCCAGGACAAATAAGGGAATCTAAAAAATGATGGCAAATTACAAAGCCCCTGGGATTAAATCTCCCTTCCCTGAGAATTTTTATTCATAACCTAAGCTGTTAGTTTTAGTGGCAGTTCACCACTTGATGGCAAATCCAAAGCCCCTGTGGAAATAATGAGATCACATCCCCCTTCCCTGGGAATTTTTATTCAGAACCTAAGCTGTTTGTTTCAGTAGCCATTTACCACTTGTCTAACTTGTTCAGTATGTTGTTCATCTCATCCCAGAATTCCAGTTTGTCCAAGAGCCAAATTGAAGGTGGTATTGTTCTCAGAATGAAAATAATTTAAAAGAGTAGATACATTAAAAATTCTTGTTATTTATGTAATAATCACCTTGCAGGGATTATAAAAGTGGAGATGATCTTCATGTAGGAATTGTGGCGACAAATGGAAAGGTTTATAATTTTGATGAAATAGGCCTCCATGCTGACAGCACTAACTGGGAGCAGTGTATTGCTGTGAGTGTGAATGTGGATGTTTGTGTTTCTAACTCAGAACATTGGGACTCTAAACTTCGACAGATGCTTTGCAGTGGGTTGTGGACTTACAAAGAGTAAGTTAGTACAGGATTTAACCATCATAAATTTGTGGTAGTTGTTCCATCTTGTAATAAATTATCACAACTTCGCTGTAAAGGAAGTCATGCAAAATGATATATTAACTTGGAAATGCCCAGAAACAAGATTTGTATATGTAGATGATCACACTGATGAAAATGATGATGACGACAGTGATCGCGATGGCGACAATAATGACGATGACAATGATGATGACGACGACGATGACGACGACGACGATGACGATGACAATGGCGATGGCAATGACGATGGTGATGATGATGATGATGATGGGAATGCAACTTTTGAGAAAAGATGAAATAGTGAAAAAACTCTTCAGTAGTAGTGGATACATAGCAGATGAATCCCTTTAGGAAGGCGCGGCTGATTTGTTAGAGGATAAAGCCTGAGGCGGAAAGGTTGTCCAGAAAATTGAACAGTTGGCAGCAAAGTAAATTCTCAAGGAGAAGCAATGGTTCAATAAAGGGTAACTGTTGGTCACTGTGAAATTTTGAAAGGACA